ATTTTAGTTCAGATCTAATCAATTCAATTCAGTTTAGCTTCTAATTTCCTCTCTCATAAAATATTAATTTCCTTCTCTAATAAAATTTTCATTTCAACTCAATTCAGCTCCAATCGGTTCAGTTCAGTTTAGCTTTTAATTTCCTTCCCTTATAAAATATTCATTTCAACTCAATTTAGTTCAACTCCAATCAGTTAAGAGTAGCTCAATTCAGTAAATGTGAACAAACCTGTAGGGAATATTTCAAGCGTTAATCCCCTAACTTGAACTCCACTGTGATCATACACTAAAGTACGGTGGCGTCCAAAGGGAAAGAAGATAGAGTAAAAGAGTCGCCAACAAGTTTTTTAGGAACTTGTAAACCGTTCACGAGGTGAAGGTTACACCCCTTAACGATCCAAGAGATCGTCAACTCCATAAGGTCTTGAACCAAATAGGGTTCGGGGATGAAGGTTCAAATCCAACCTAAAAGAGATTGAACCTGCCCTAATAATAGGCCTCTACTTTATTCTGATCGTATTCATGTGCGCTTTCTGACTAACATGCAAGTAATAGGATTAACCTTAAACCTGTTTAATCTATGTTGGTTGAATATTAATGCACAAATAAATCTATTATTGGCGATCACTTGAATTATAATCAAATTAACCCTAAACAAGATTATTAAATATCTTATTAAGCGTGATTACAAGTATAAATTCCCTTTAAACATGCATAAAATGTGTGATCAAGCAATAACAATAAATAACAAGCAACACAATAATAACCATCATAAAAATAATAATTATAATCATAAATCATAAAAATAATCATGATAATCATGTTAAAGCATAATATTAGCAAGATCCTAGGCATGATACTAACAAGATTAATAACAAACCCTAACATGTCACTAAGCAATAAAAATCAAATCTTTAACCCTAACATGATACTAACAATCATAAATATTAGGAAGAACATAAAAGGCATCATAACGATCATATTTAGTATTAAAGTTACCCTAGATATGATACTAGGAATATCATAATAACACCATAAACATGATTTCTACATCATAACATCAATAAAAATCATTAAATTACTTACTTTGATGCCTCGTACCTCTTTCTAATAACAAAATACACACATTAGTAACTTCAATGAAAATAATAAGCAATAATTAAATTAGATAATTGAAAGAGAGATTTGGGACCAAACCCTCGGAAATTAAACCTTTCACATCTAGGGCGAAGGCAACTTCGAATATGGCTAAGTGTATCTAAGTCTTGCGAATGCGGAATTTTGTATTAGAGAAAAGGCTAGTTTAGAAAAGAGAGAGAGAGAGTAATCAAGAAAATCTTGATGAGAGTTGGTGAAAATAGAGAGAATCGATGATTGTAGGTGATTGTGGATGAATGAAAATTGGTTATTCGAAAACGGAGTTTTTAGCACATTATTTATAATGAAAATCAGCCAAAAAGATAAAATATCAAAATAGAGTTCTGGCGCACATAAAACGATGTTGGCGCCAACGCTGGCAATTGGCGCCAGACACCAACATTAGCGCCAGGCGCTACAGCTGGCGTTTGGCGCTGATTCAGAAATTCACACGTTTTCTTAAAATCAGATAGAAATTGCCGTACAGGAGGATAAAATCGTATCTTCCTCAAAAACGTTCTTTGATTTTAATTAAAACTCTGAAAAAGTCAACAAAAGTCAATTTATCAATGCTAATTGAATTAGGAATGAAAAGAACCTTCTAGAAGAATCTAGAAGACTAAAACCATTCCTAATTGTATTAGCAATAATAAATCTATATTAGGACCTCCCATAGATCATTGGGCCGCATATAAGGCTCAAACCGGGCCTAGTTTGGTATTTTGGCCATAACTTCCTCAATATTCATCGGAATTGGGCTTATAATATATCGTTGGAAAGCTCTTGTCAAGCCCCATCCAACTACACTACTATTGAACCCATATCATTGACCAACCAAACTGGATTGGCTGTTTTCTTAAAATAAGTTTTCAAAAACAAAGAGAAGAGAAAAAAAATTAAAACTATCCGCAACACTAAACTTTCCACATTTTCACTTCATTCGATTATGATTCGACGTGAAAGACACTCATCACTGGGTTTGGTTTTGGGGAGACACAAATGGGTGTCTACAGAAGCCCCCACTTTGACTGAGTTTTGAGAAACGCAAGTTTCGAAAACAAAAGTCAAAGTATCGATAGGGACGGAGAATGATTTAGAACGTTCTGCGATTCTAAACCACTCTTGTAACACCAATACCTGCAAAATAGCGTTAGTTAAACAAATAAAAGAGTTCAGAAACGCGTATCTTGCACCGTCGAGCACACGTCTCTGAAAGTTACCGATTCGTTGCCGCATTGCTGTTTTGATGACCTCCTGCCAAGAGAATGTCATCCCGCTTGAAAATTGCTTCCAAACTTAGGGGGTACAAATCGGGGCAAGGCCACATCTACTGCATCATTATGCAAGATACGCCCTAAAGCTAAGGGGGGATTTGAACCAACTGGAATATTTTGTTCTGATTTACTCCTTGATTGGCTAGCCAATATGCCGCTTGGTTTGCTTCACGATATATGTGCTTCACTACGATTTCCCAATCTTGTTTTTTGATCAGATTTTTGCAATGGACAATATCATGAATACACTCTCCATTGTAATTATCATTATTAAGGATGTGGACTACCGCTTTATTGTCTAGTTGCATCTGTAGCTTCTTGACACCTAACTTTTGAGCTAATTCAAGACCATACTCTGCAGCCAACACCTCTGCTTTAAAGGCATTACAATTGCCAAGCTTAAGGGAGTATGCATAAGCAATTTTCCCTAAGGTAACCCTGATGATGCCTCCTCCTCCAGCTGGACCCGGTGCACCCTTGGTTGCCCTATCTGAGTTCAACGCAAGCCATCTAGGTGGCAAAGCAACCCACTTAATGAATGCTTCCCTTTTAGAACAACTTGGGAGTTATCAGTATTGTTATCCCCCATAACCCTCCACACTTCTTCAAAGCGCTTTAGCAAGAATTACTTAACATCAACTGGAATTTCATTTGATTTATCAAATTCTACGGTGCATTTCCATCTCCAAATCCACCAAATCACAATAGCAAAGTATGTAGGCCAAATTTTAGGAGATAAATTGTTATTGTGTTGTAGCTTTATTTTTTGAATTATTCATTGCTTCAGTGTGCCAGTTCGGAAATTTGATGCATTTGCAAGTCCTCCTACTTGACGCCATACTTCCCTAGCTGCCTTATAATCTCTCAGAACATGGAGTGTATTTTCCTCCATGTTATTACATAGCTTACAGCAAGGATCATCCGTTAATGCTCGCTTAAACCTATTTGCATTAGTCATTACCTTATCATGGAGCACCAAACAAAGGAATACTCTTATTCTTTGTTGCACTCTAAGGCGCCAGACTAGCTCCCACGACCCATCTTCTTGAGTCTCATCATCATTACGAATAAGTTGAAAAGCAGACTTTATGGAGAACCTCCCTTTCGAGCCATTCTGCCAATAAAACAGATCACTCTGCTCTGGATTTTTAATAATGCTATGTGATTCGATCTCCTTCAATATATCTGGAGGTAAGATGTCAGCAAAAGCAGCCCACTTCCATCCTAGCTGCTCGTCCCACATTTTGGCTACTGTAGCCCCTTCAATATCCAAGGGGATGATACCAATAGCCAGCTCTCTAAGCGGCTGAGAACACACCCACCTATGGTCCCAAAAAAGGGTGGTTTTACCATCACTCATTACAACTCGAGCGCCTCTTGAAATGATGTGAGTGTTTTCTATAATGCCATTCCAAACATTTGACATATTCTATTTTGGCTCGAACATATTAACGTCACATCTACCTTTGCAATATTTGCTTCTTAGTACACAAGCCCAAAGAGCGTGAGGTTCTGTGAGAATTCTCTACCCTAGCTTTGTCAAAAAGGCTGAATTTGTTTCCCTTGAAGATTGAATTCCCAAGCCTCCCATATCCCTCGGTTTGTGCAAGTTTTCCCAAGAAATTAAGTGGATTTTTCGTTTCTCTTCATCACTACCCCAAATAAAGCGCCTTATTCTCTTATCGATATCATCACATATGGTTCTTGGTACCCTTGCGGTTTGCATTGCGTAAGATGCCATTGTTGATTTGGCTAGAGTAATCCTTCTAGTTAAAGACACATATGTCGACTTCCACCCTGCCAAAGGCCTATCTATATTTTCACATAAATAGCCAAAAGTGTCTTTGGTCACTCTTCCTGTTAATGTTGGCATACCCAGATAGCTACCAAGGTCTTCTGTTTGTTCAATTCCCATAAAATTTGTGATGAGTTGGCGCTGAGTTGCATCATTATTACCCAAAATATACACCCTCGATTTTGGATAGCTTACTCTCTGACCTGAAGATGAACAAAAACAATCCAAACATTGCTTGATATACCCCGCTTGTTCAATGTTAGCCTCGGAAAACAAGATGATATTGTCTGCAAAAGCTAGGTTCGAAAGTTGGGGACCATTTTTGCTAGCCCGTATGGGCTTCCATTGATTGAGGATAAATGACTCCTCAATTATTTGGTTTAATCGTTCCATACAAAGTACGAAAATATAGGGTGATAAAGGATTACCTTGTCTAATTCCCTGTTTAGGGGAGAAAGCTTGAGTAGGCTCTCTGTTCCATAGCACACGCATTGACGAGGTGGTTATGCACTCCATAATAACATCAACAAGAAGGATAGGAAATAGAATCTCCATTAGAGTACCTCAAATAAATTTCCATCTCAACCTATCGTATGCCTTTTCAAAGTCTATTTTTGTAGCCATAAAACCTTTTTCACCTTGCGAATTCCTCATAGTATGGATCACCTCTTGTACAATAACTATACTATCCGTTATTTGTCGGCCCGGAACAAAACATGTTTGTTTGCTTGAGGTAAGATGAGGCATCATTGGCTTGATACGGTTGACTATAGCTTTTGTAATGATTTTATAAGCTACATTACATAAGCTAATGGTTCAAAATTAGAAGCTACCTCTGGATTGTCCACTTTCGAAATTAGCACAAGGGCAGTATCATTTAAGCTTTGTGGCATTCCTTTTCCATTAAGCACATCAAAGACAAGCTTGTACACATTCTGAGATACTAGGTCCCAATTCTTTTGGTAGAATAAAACTTGGAAACCATCTGGAACCGGTGCTTTTAGAGCACCCATTTCCTTCATTACCCTATCTATTTCACATTGAAGAAAAGGCCTCGTCAGATTATTCCTGTCACGAGTTGTAAATTCTGGGAAAATATCACGAGGAAGATCCTCATGGGGCTGCTCATCTTCACTTTCGAACAAGGTTGTAAAATAGTTGACAATGTTATTTTGAACCTCGGCTTTGTCAGTTAGCCATTGGCCATCAGGCTCTTCTTTAATGGCCAAAATTTTGTTTCGCCATCTACGAGCTATAGTGCTAAGTTGAAATAAGGTGGTATTATGGTCTCCATCCTTATTCCACTCCACTCTTGATTTTTGATACCATAACAATTCCTCTAGGGCAAGTACCTCATCAAGCTCCACACTTAATTTCGACTCAAGTTTTATTAAATCCCTCGCTTTTTGAAGCGCAAGAGCACGTTGTACACCTGCAATACGTGCTAGGAGATTGTGTTTCTTCTTAAAAATGTTATGGAAATTCGTTTTATTCCATTCTTGTAGATCAGCAGCAAGTTGGTTAAGGTGAGGCATAAGAGGAGCCTCTTTATCCCACTTACTCTCGACAAAGTCCCTAAAGTTATCGTGAGTCATCCAAGCCGCTTGAATCCTAAAGGGCCTATTAATTTTTGATAAAGGAGCAAACCCGTTTGGAGCAATAATTATCGGATAGTGATCTGATTGGATTGCGAGAAAGTGTTTCATCGAAGCATTGGGGAACCTTAGACTCCATTCTCCATTGCAAAGAGCGGGCACGGTCGAGTCTTGAACTCTGCCAAGTGTCAACCGAGTTCCCTCTAGACCAAGTATGTGATGCACCACTAAATTCAATTTCCAATAAGCCAACATCTTCCACCCATTCATTAAATCGAGCAGCTCTTCTAGAGGTTTCAACACAATAAGAGCTTCTTTCCCATCGAAACCTCGTATCATTAAAATCCTCTGCTAACATCCAAGGAACATTGTGATTTGCAGCATAGTCTTTGAGCTCTCTCCATAGTTCTTGTCTTTTCGAGGGGTCTGGGCTGCCATATACTGCTGTAAAGTACCATGGAACACCATCCACTCTTTTTATTTCTATAGTAATAAATTGGTTGTGTTTATGTATTGGTTCGACAGTGACTAATTCCCTTCTCCAATACACCCATATGCCACTACTAAAGCCCTGAGCATCGACTCTAGTATGACCATTGTATCTTATAATATTAGCAATTCTCTCCGCTTGAGCTCCTCCTATATGTGTTTCCACGAGAGCTATCACATTCGGCTTATTTACTCTAATTATTTCCTTCAAAGCAAACATAAACTCCCTACTTCCTGCCCCTTGTACATTCCATATCATACAAGACATAAGCAGTGTGTTGGATGCCAAATTTGCTAGGTTTGCATTCATTGTATCAATAGAATATGAAGGATTACTTAAATAAGCTTCTTCAATTAATCAAATAATTCGATTAATTTCTACTTGAATTTGGAGGTACACCACTAACACTGGCGGCTCCGGAATTGATTCTATCCACGTCTCCATTCGAACCTCCTTCACATGAGTCAAGGGGGTTGGCTATGGTCAGGTAAGGATGATCCATCGGTTATCCCACAAAATGTGTTTTCTTCGAAGGGATTGAGAGAGTTTATTACCTCCCTGCTGAACAAATCCATAGCTGCTTAAGGGCACCACTTCCTCTATATCCTCTGTTTCTATAACTATTGTATCTTCTTTACTTGTCTTCTGTTCAGTTGCTTTTGTAGAGTTGGCTTCACCGAAAGTCAAATTTTCTTTTCTAGGATGTAAATTTGGAATTTTGCTGGATGTCGAGAAGATTGTGGGTAATTCGTTTTCAATGGGCTTCAAAGGGGTAATTTTTTGGTTAAAATTTTTTTGGGAAATATTTTTATTAGAGAAGTTTCCTTTTTTATTTTTTTGGAGCATTTGAATTTCCAGCTTTGTTGCTTCCCAATTGGAAATTAATATCTTTTTGTTTATTTTGAGAATTATCTCCAAGATTAACAGCTGTACCAAATAAATTATCTTTGCTTAAACCTTGCGAAGATAATGTTTTCATATCTTTAGTATGCATATCTTCTAAGGCCAAATCTTCTTGTTGCTTATCTTGCACTACACCTTCCTCATTTAATGCCTCAAATCTTGACCCCGAAGATGTTGGCATATTTTGTTTTGAATTTTGATTTGGCGCCCTACTTTTATTCTGATTTTGTGTATGCGTACCTCCACCATCTTTGGCGTTTTCCAGTGGGGGCTTGTCTATCCTTGGATTCCGTTTCCGGACTGGTTTTTTAACCAACATCCACGAACCAAAATCACTATCTTCCTCAGGTCTTGGATGTTTCTCAATAACTCCTTCAGCACCCACACCATGCTGGTTTGCAATCTCGTTATTAACTTGATCCACAATCATGTCTTGACTCGAGTGGGATGAGGCACACCATTCTTCAACATGCCCTAACATACCACACTTATTGCAAATTAATTTGATCCCTTCATATTGGATCCTCAAAATTTTTCCTTTAAGCCAGAACTTCGACAACGGGGGCTTTGACAAATCAATCTCTACACTTAATCTTGTAAACTGTCCTCTTTCAGCATATGCAGTAGATTTATCCACCCTAATTACTTTTCCAAGTTTCTCTCCTATTTTCTTAAGAAAATCCTTATCGATTTATTCCACTGATGATAAGTTTGAAATACGAACCCAAGCTGTCAACACTTTAATCGAAGCTTCCTCAGGGATAAAATTTGGTGTCCATTTACGGATGGTAAGATATTTATCATCTATCAACCAAGGTCCTTGAGTCAGAACATAATTATAGTCTTCTTGATTATTAAGTCTAGCAATAAAATACTTACATCCTATGTTTGTGAGGGACATTTCACCTTTCAATTGCCATTTCCTCTTTAGCCTTTTCATTAATCCCATGTAGCCCAAACTTAGCTTCCATCAAACATTCGAATGATTAGAGTGTTTCTCCAAGGTCGGCGTATTGCTCTCTTCTCTTCCTTTGTAAGCAGAATGACAGGGCACCTATCATTATCTACCACATCTTCCGGGGGGATATCATCATCAGAAACATCATTCTCATCATTCTCATCATTATCAAAAACCTGGCCGCTGTCCTTTGCCATTGGTTCTAGATGGGTATCTCGAATGAGATCTCTGAAGGACCTTTGGGGCTGACCTTCCCTATGCAAAATAGGGACAAAGGTCTGATTGTTCAACACCACTGGTCTCCCACCTTGAATATTGGAGTTCAAAGGTGCAACCTCCATCCAGGGTTCTCATTCTTGTCATTTCTATTAAAAAATTTCATGTGTAATCTTTCGTTTTGGTTTTTTACTGGACCTAGCCACCCTCGTCAGCGACCTCCGGTGGGATTGGCGGTGGAAGGGACGATTGTTGCGCATGTTCCATTTTGAGAGTGTATTTTGTAACAAATTGCTATAATGTCTATTGTCTTAAAAAAAACTCTTAGTTGGGGTAATTGCGGTAAACCATAGATATTTTTCCTCATTGAAATTTGATTTTTATTTAAGAGCAATTTTATAAATAAAGTATAAATAATTTTTTATCAGGTAAATTTTATTTTTATTTTTTATTTCGGGGTTAACTTTACATCATTTTAAATAAACCTAAAAGTGTGCTGACTTGTTCACAAACTTAAAGGTGATGATTTATACTACATGCTACTCATGACCAAGTGCTACTAATCTATTCGATAAAGAAATAGAGGATGACAAGTGTTAGTTAAGCAAACCCCAATACTCTCCTCTTACTACCTAGGAGTGAGCATAACAGGATACCCTAATAAAATTTTCGGAATCAGAATTGAAATATTTACAGCAGGTTCCTCAAAATGAGTATCAGACCTACAAGTTCTAGTTTTGATTCAGGGTACAATGTCTTTTAATATATTTCATACTTTTTTGCAAAATCATTTTGAAAAAAAAAAAAATTAAGGGTTCATTAATTTATACTCCCTCCGTCCCTAATATTTTGCCCCATTGCTGTTATTTGGGTCAAATTTTTAAAACTTTGACCATCAATTGTCATTGATCAATAAGAACTAATATAGTCATGTGTGATCTTGATGTGTTCGTCTCGTTGTATATTTTATTAATATCAAGTTTTATAACTTTTACGTGAAGGAAAATAGAGTTATATTCGTTTTAAAACACGACTTGGAGACCGTGAAAAGTCAAATGAGACAAAAATAAAGGGACAGAGGGAGTAACTATTATAACTTGCAATACAACAAACCAAAATTAGTTGTTTGGCAAATTTAATACTCGGAGAAATTGGAGAAAGTGATAAAATATGGAGGTAGTGAGTAGGTGGAACAATAAAAAATTGTAAAAAGCAAAAGTAGTAGATAGAATTGAAGGAGAGAGAATATGAAATTAATAAAATAGAATTTATGTTGGTTTACTAGTTAAGAAAAATGAATTAGATATTATAAAAACTTTCCAAATAAGGAAATTGAGCACATATTTTAAAACGACTAAAAATAAAAAGTTGAGCAATTATTTAAATCGGAGAGAATACATATATTTATTTATTTTTATTTGTTAAAAATTGGTGTTGGGTTGATGCATGATTTAGGATTAAGTTATAGAGTAAGTTACAAGGTACCCTACATGTTCCGATTTCAAAAAATTGAAAACCTGAACCGAAACCTATTGTAACAAGTTCTCTATTTTACTACGCGAAATCGGAACCTCTTGTACAAGTTTCAATTCTGATTGTATCTTGATTTTTTTTGGTTCTCACCCCTATCACTATCCATAAGGCCTATTCAAACAAGAAAATTATAATTGCAACTATTTACAAAAAAGAAGTGAAAAATATACTCACTTCGTTTCGGCCTAAACAAAAATCAACCCAACATTTCAATAAAAAAGAAAGCCCAATTTACAAAATCACCAAACTTTATTGAAGCTTCGTCGTATTCATCTTGTATCTTTTTGGTGAAGAAAGTGGCTCATCTCCTTCCTCTTATCTTGACTTCCTGCAATCGAGAGGAGAGAGAAAGCAAGCAATTTTGAGGAGAGAGAAAGCAAGCAATTTGAAAGCTAAAAGGCAGCCATGGCAGGTGTTGCAGGAGGAGTAGGTATCACATGGCCATCAAAGCTTTCCGCCATTAAACCATCTTCTTCCAAATCTAAGCACCCTTTTCGCTCCCATTCTACTCTTGTTGTTAAAATGACTGTTTCTGTTGATGAGAAGAAAAAGACTTACACCCTTCAAAAATCTGAAGAAGCGTTTGCTAAAGCCAAGGTTTTGATTACTCATCATTTCTCTTTAATTGTGATTTTTTTTTTTTTTTTTTTTTTTTTTTTTTTTTTTTTTTTGTTGATTGTTTATGATTTTGAGAATTGGGTTCGTTCTCCATTTTGACTTTAATTGTCGATTTTGCGTGCTATGTAATTTGAGATTTGGGAATGTTTTGCGATCTTTGTTACTTTTTGGTTCAGGTAACTGACTCATCTTTTTGGCATTATTTTTAACTAAGGCCTTTTTGGTTGACATTATAAAATGGGGGAATTGAGAATTCATGGGAATTGGTAAGGTGGGTAGTTGTTTGGTTGACACAAAAAAGCAAAAATGAGGAAGTGAGAATTCATGGGAATTTCAACTTCCCACAAAACAAGGCCTAAAATGTACTCATAGTAATGCATAGAATATATCAAAGTTCCAAAGCAAAAGGATGATGAATTTGGGTATAACCCAAAACACCTATACAAAGAAACTACACAGTAAGGCTTTCAAGCCATTCTCTATTTTTTACATTTAGCTTTTGGCCTCCTAGAGCTAACATTCTATGTTTTATGTCACATTGGGACTGTACAATGTTGGGGATGTTCATGATTTTACTCTCCCAATATGCTATGTTCCTGACCCTCCAAATTTGATACATGACTGCCAGAATGCAGCAAGTATTTACCAAGTTTCTCTGGATGCTATTTTTTTATCCTGCTGCAAGCTTTAACAATGGTATCCAGCTGGATGCTTTGTGGCCCAAAACCAATCTAAGCTCTGATATGCTGCCATATACTGCTGCTGTAATTACATTGAAATAATTATATGACTATGTGACTCATCAAAATCTACACCTAGTATACACTTCTTCTTATCCTGTTGCAGTTGAATATGCTACATGTCTCTGGTCTTCAATCTATGCTGAATGACTAGCCAAGCAATGAACTGATGTTTAGGTTGCGCTGTCTTTACCCAGATTACCCTATCCCATCTGCATCTGTGATTCCTGGCTGAGAGAATCTCATAATACTTCCCAATCTTCTCTGTTCCATTTCTGTTACTATTACATAATTTATCCCCTAGAAAATGGAATGGTTGTTGGGTTGGTGGTGGTATTAAGACTCTAGCATGAACCTATATATGATAAAATTAAACTCTTCGGTCTTATGTATATGCAAAGAAGGTAATAAGAGCAGAGCCTGCCCCCTGTACTTGGTTAATTAGTGATGCATCTTTGGGTATGAACCTTTGTATTCTTATTTGTAGAGTCATGATTGTCAATTGCTAGGATTTGAGGCTTTGATTCGATAGTACTGTATATTGTATTTCTTTTTGATGTTTTAAGGTGGGCCCCATTTATTCGTTTCTTCGTGAAAAGGATTCTTCAATTTTGTTGGGAATGTTAGATGAGATATCTAGATAGGTGGGATCAAGGATGCTTTTGTAATGATTGTTTACTGTAGTATGCTTTGGATGAAATCCTCATTACAACCTCATTTGTTAGCAAATATGACAAGGGCGCTTTGCACCTTTTGCCTTTTATGTTGTCATCTTAACATTGTGAACCGCTGGAACAGGGTGGTGTCTATTATAATGTGGTATCTTTTTCCATATCACTCTTGTTATCTGCTATAAAAATAATTATGATGAAGCATTAAGCATTTGGTGGCTAACTTTTTGGAGTAAGCATTGCTGGAAGAAATCTGTTAAACAATAAACACTAATGGGGCACACTTCAAATTTTCAAGTATCCTTTGAATGGGATATGATTAGCTGATGGGATATGCTAACTGATGTTTCTTAGAATTTTCAAGTACCCAATTATAGTCCCTGAAAAACTTCGACTAGAACAGAAGTAGCTGTGTACCAAAATATCCATTGATTGGAACAGAAATTAACCGAGCCCATAGTCTGGGTGTACTGCACTGCTAGATGTTACCATTTAAATTGATTCTTGGAGGATTTAAGGAATTATTTGCTAGAGGAAAGAAATTTTTGTGTTGATTACCTTAGCCAACAAACCTCAAGCCCTTTCGGTTTATTAGAAACTCTAAGAGAGTAGATTCTACTTCCTGCAGATTTTATGGACTTCACCTTGGATCTGATTTTTTTTTTTTTTTTTTTTATTATTGAATATTGTGCTGAATGAGGTGTTGAGACTGGCTGTTTAGTGGACTTCGTTATTTAGTGTCTTTTGTTTATATGTTATTTTTATCGCTATTTAGCTTGGCAAATTTTCAATAGTCATACAACACCTGATTACAAGTTATCCTTCTGATTTTAAAGATGGTTTCATATGAATTGCAGGAGTTGATGCCTGGAGGTGTAAATTCCCCTGTCCGTGCCTTCAAGTCAGTTGGTGGACAGCCTATAGTGGTAGACTCTGTCAAGGGTTCTCACATGTGGGATATAGATGGCAATGAGTATATTGACTATGTTGGCTCATGGGGACCAGCTATTATTGGTCATGCTGACGATGAGGTTTCATTTTTTCTCCCGAATACAACTTCTGATATATCATCCTCTGAAAACTGAGCATTTGGTTTTACTTAATGTTATTTGTATTATAAATTGTAATGCTATTTGTTACAGGGTACCAATTTTTGGTCCCAACATCAGCTAGTGTTAATGCATAGGTTAACATAACCAGATAGTTATGCTTGTATGGTTGTACCTAATTATCATTGATCTCCTAACAGGTACTTGCAGCCCTGGCGGAAACTATGAAGAAAGGGACAAGTTTTGGTGCTCCTTGTCTTCTTGAGAATACTCTGGCTGAGTTGGTGATATCAGCTGTTCCGAGCATTGAAATGGTCCGATTTGTAAACTCAGGTACGGAAGCATGTATGGGTGTTCTCCGTCTGGCCCGTGCGTTCACTGGCAGACAGAAGATTATCAAGTTTGAGGGTTGCTACCATGGCCATGCAGACCCATTTCTTGTGAAGGCAGGAAGTGGTGTTGCTACTCTAGGGCTTCCAGACTCTCCAGGTGTACCAAAGTCTTCCACCTCAGACACCCTAACTTCTCCATATAATGACATCGAAACTGTGAAAAGTCTCTTTGAGGCTAACAAAGGAGAAATTGCTGCCATAATCCTAGAACCTGTTGTCGGAAACTCAGGTTTTATTCCTCCAAACCCTGGCTTCCTTGAAGCCCTCCGGGAAATCACCAAAGAAAATGGAACTCTCTTGATCTTCGATGAAGTTATGACTGGATTCCGTTTATCTTATGGTGGTGCACAAGAGTACTTCAAGATTACGCCTGATCTTACAACACTGGGGAAAGTCATAGGTGGTGGTCTTCCTGTTGGTGCTTATGGAGGGAGAAGGGATATTATGGAGATGGTTGCACCTGCTGGACCAATGTATCAGGCTGGTACTCTCAGTGGAAACCCATTGGCAATGACTGCTGGGATACATACACTCAAACGATTGATGCAACCAGGAAGCTATGAATACTTGGACAAGATTACTGGTGAACTTACGCAAGGACTCCTTGATGCTGGGAAGAAGGCTGGGCATGCAATGTGTGGTGGATATATCAGGGGAATGTTTGGGTTTTTCTTCACTGATGGGCCTGTATACAGCTTTGAGGATGCAAAGAAAAGTGACACTGCAAAGTTTGGCCGTTTCTACAGGGGAATGTTAGAGGAAGGAGTCTACTTTGCCCCTTCACAGTTTGAAGCTGGATTTACTAGCTTGGCTCATACTACTGAAGATATTCAACAAACAATAGCAGCAGCTGAGAAGGTTTTCCGAGAGATATAGGACGCTGAATCTTTACCTCGTGGTCTTCAGTTTTGTAGCTTTGTTTAGTTGATAACCTGTTTCAGACATTGCTTCTAATAAATGTGGTTGTATTTTCTATTATCCTGTTGTCTCTCTTGTAAGTTGTATTTTCTAGTGTATCTTCTTAATATTTGTAATCAATAGTTAAGTTTATTTGCCAATGTTCTCTTGAATCCTTATCATTGAAGGAAGTCATGTATGTAACTAATTGAAAAGAGAAAATAGTTGTTTAATCTAAAAACTTTATAGAGATGAGAAGTTGGGTTTTACAGAGGTTTCCCCTTCTTAGCCGTCTTATTCCTCTTCCTTTCTTAAGTTCCCTGGTGTGTGCCTTTAATGGTCTCTGCTGATTATCAATGCGGAAATCACTGCACAAATTCATCTGAGGAGTGTGATCCAGGATGTTGCTTTATACATACTGTTATTATCAGGACATGTATTGACACTTCATTTGGTTTATGCTAAATGAGATGAAACTTTCTTCTATTTTTTTATTTTTTTTTTCTACTTCTTGCTTTTTGTCAATGACCATACAGAATAATTTATTTTGGTTTATGTAGCCGACCCTACTTATGGGATTAAGCCTATAATTGATTGATTGTACTTAGGGGTGTAAATGAATCAAGTCGGTCAATAAACTACTCGGATTCGAGTTCGGTTAAAGCTCGTTCATGTCCGTTTATTTGATAAATGAGTCAAGCTTGAACAAATTTTGAAGCTCATTTAATAAATGAGCTTGAACACTGGTGTGCCTCAGTCGTATGCAACCAAAAATATCACAACTAAGCTAACTGCAAATAAACGTAGTTAGGGAAGTCGAGTTCGAATCCACAGGGAAAAAGGGACTAATAACTGGAAACCTAAGTGGAAATACTCTAGGACGGTAGTAACCTAAGTAACGAGGGGGGTTTTCACGAGCAATGATGATAAATGAACTAAGTAAGAACAACGAACGTAATGAATAGGTAATCAATGAGAAGAACGGTCTTGGTTATGCGAAATCCACTAATGAACATACAAATTGATCATAGAAGTCTCCTCAATCAAGCTCTATTGAACACCTTGTTGTAGAATTCCTAGATTCTAAATTCTCATAAATAGTTAGAAATAGCAAAGCGCTCCTTTCTAACCCTTTCCAATGCACAATTCAAGACAAGCGCTCTAAATTATCCACAAGAAGAAAATAAACGGAGAAATCAACAAGGATTGAATAAATTAACACAAGCGGTCTAATTTCTTCAATAATATTATTCCCTCTTCAAGTTATCAACCAAAAGCATGCATCAATAACCTAAAGTTGCTACTTTGGAAAGATTAATTAGATGCAAGCGAATCCAATAATTCTAACCTAGCAATTGATTAAAGCAAATCATGAAATTAATTCAAGGAACAATATATATTCAATAGATATTAAGAGAAGAAAGATCTCACAATTCGTAGCCAAAAGCTTCAATCTTTAACCAAGAATCCGGAAGATTAAGCTTCCATGGATTCTAATTCCAAAACAAAGAATTCTGAAAATTCCAAGAAAACCCTAGAAAGCTTTTTTCTCAAAACTTAATTCTCCTTCTTTTTTTTTCAAACTTAATTAAAACTAAGCTATTTATATGTTTCTATATTTTAATAACATAACACAATAATAATAATAAAATAATATCCAAAACACGAGCCAAAACAAAGCCAAATTGCTGAAAATTAACCAAAACAGCCCGAATTTCTGCCAGAGCCGCTGCCAGCTGCTCTGGACCCGCTGGCAGCTGCTCTGGCAGCCCCTCACTCTGGTATACCCGCTGCCAGCGGCTCTGGCCAGCTGCCAGCGGCCCTGGCAGCGGTTCCTGCTGTTTTTTGCCTTCTTTCCTTGCTTCTTCTTCTTGCTTTGCTTCACCTTTTCCTCAAGCTTTCTTCCTTGCTCTTTCATGCTCCATCACAACTCTCAAATCACGAGCCAAGGTCCATCCTTCTTACATAACTCTTCATTGGTTCCCGAGCTCACTCACTCACTTATACTCATAAATCCCGCCTTTTGCACATAAGTGAGATCACAGCCCAAAACTCACAAAAGCTAACAAAAGTACATATAAAGCATCAAAACACACCCTAAAATGCTTCTCTCAACCCATGATAAGAAGGCTTATCAAATTCCCCCATGCTTGAACCTTTACTCGCCCTCGAGTAAACTTAGAGAATAAAACACATCCTCCTCACTAAGGTTCAAAACAGAAGATGGTGGAATCAAACTAGCTCTACGCACTCAAACTCAACAAAACATCCTAGTACTTATCAACCAATCACAATCACACTCCCCCATACTTCACACTTTAAATCTCCCTTTTTTCTTATTTATCAATTCATCCCCAAAATCAACTTGGAACGATAAACGCATAGCCATGAGTATGAATATTCTCAACCGCCTAAAGAAATGAAATTTTTGATAAAATTGGGCAAACAAAAACTCAACTTAACCAAAAATCTCATAAAAACACTTCCACATTCAAGAGTGAAAACAAACAACTCATGCTCTCAAATTCCTAAGATGATCAACAAATTCCCCCAAAATCTCAACTATCTCCCAAAATCACCAAGATGAAACCTACCCCGACACCTCCTTATATCTCCTCCCCTTATGACACCGACTCCGGCAAATAGATGCGAAATTTCCTTGAAAAATCAAATTCATGAACATTTCTCTCTTTTTTCTCTCATTTTGCCTAGGAGCCCTTTCGGGTTTTCATCCTAGCCTCTCATCTTTTTCCAAATCTCACTTTCTCACCCACTCATTAGCCACTTTTTTGCTTAGGTCGCCCTTTCGGGTTTTCAACCTAACCGGGCCCCCATTTTTGCCTAAGCCGCCTTTTCAGGTTTTCGACTTAGCGGGTTTCTTTTTCTTTTTTTCTTTCTTTCTTTTTTTTTTTTTACTTTTTTCTGTTTTTTTTTCAAGCTTGCTTCATTGAACCACAATTAAGATAGTTATACAAAACATGAAATCAAAATAACTATACAAAATTCAAAGAATATATGCAAGAATGTCTTCCCCCCCCTACTTGAATGAAGCATTGTCCTCGATGCAAGAACAACTACAATGAAACCAAAAGTAAGGGAAAAGGAAGAGAATCGTTACCATCTCAATGAGAGGGACCTCCAGAGCCAGAAGAGCCGGCATCGCCCCGAGAAGCACGCCTCTCGGAACGACGCAAAGCACGGGATGCCAAATGATCCATGAACGCCTCAGTTGGAGGCTCATACTGCGGATACTGAGTGGTGTAAAACCGACTCATGCTTCTTTGATATGCAAGCAGCTCCTGCATCCCATCGCACACCTCCTCTAGTCTATCATCCACATCAGCCCTCCATCGAGGCCAATCATCGTGCTGCACTCCAGCAGCATCCTCACCCCCTTCCTCATCAACAAACTCTCCGCCCATATGAACATCGGGATTCTCCTCTCCCATGTTCTCAACTATGATTTCAGCATCTCCCAAATAAGGAGCAACATCCGGGTCGGGCGGAAGGAAAAAGTCTGCAGCAGTAGGGCCAAAAGGTAATGCTCGTCCCTCGGGACGAGGAAGTCTCAAATAGTTCAAACCCTGCGGTCCGTATCGCCAGAAATAACTACCGGCGACGGGGGAACGCGATAATAAACCGATCTTGACCAGAGTCATGATGTTATATGTCAAGTATGTCGAGTCTACTGGCACAAGATCCTCAGGGGGTGGAACATTCAAATAACAGGCTAGCAAAGAGACCATGCCACCCATACTAATATGGCCACTGGAGTTGGACTTCACCTTTACACAACTATCAACAAAAATCTCCACCCAATTGGGCGTACCGACACCTTCAGGGGTCATCGCCCACAAATACGACAATGTGACTTTGGGGACCTTAGTGGCCTCCCCTTGGCATAGAATAGTGGACGATATAAACCTATGCACCAGTCTAAGGCATGGGTGGGTGATTTTGAAGCTATGATCACCATGAGGGTCAACTTCACAACCAGTTATAGCCCTCCAAAATGTTCGGGACGAGTACGTGCTATAATCACCCCAACGGTTCACCAATGGGGGTGCATCCCAACCAAATGCCATACGCAAATCATCATAAGACATCACATAATTCCTATTGTTCAAATTAAAGGATATTTGTTCACGTCCTTTAGTAAGCGTTGAAAGGAATTCATATGTATACCTGACATAGGTGGGAGCGCATTTGGTCATGAAATTCTCGAGACCCACGTTCCTTAGCAAGAGCCGCACTCCTTCCTCCATCTCTAGCTCTTGTAAAGCTTCTAAGTCAAAGAACTTGGTGCATTGCACCGTTCGTCGGGGTTGTTGAAGCTTAGTCCATACGCCCTTCTCCTTGGAATTCAACCGCACACCCATGAAACCATCCCCTTGAGGCAATGGAGGTGCCTCCCCTTGACTTGAAGAAGCCCCTTGCTTCTTGCCCCTTGAGGGTCTTGATGGAGATGATGCTTTAGACCTCTTGTTGTCTCTACCCATGGCTATAAAAAGGAATATGTTCACTTGCACCTTCACCTTCACCTTCAATGAAAATAAATTAAGCTTGCAATTCCACACAACCAACTCAATTTCACAATTGAAATCAAGAAAAATGGTAAACCTTAGGTGAAATTGTGATGGGAATTGAGAATTTGATGAAAGATGAAGATTTGGGAAAGGGAAATTGGTAAGGAATTTGGTATAATTGGAGTAGGGGAATGAATGAGTAGAGAGAAGGAGAAGAAAAGGAGTAAGGGTTTATGTGAATTGGGGGATAATGAAGTTGGAGTTGGAAAAGGGGAAATAAGGGGAAAAAAAAAATCGGGGAGAGCTGTAGGGGCCGCTGGTAGCGGCTTGAGGCCCGCTGCCAGCGGCTCTGGCAGTTTTTTTTTTTTTTTTTTTTTTTTTTTTTTTTTTTTTTTTTTTTTTTTTTTTTTTTTTTTAGCATTAACAAAACGTAGAGGGGGGCCCGCTGGCAGCGGCTCAGGAGCAGCTACCAGCGGCTGGGACAGAAACAAAGGGGTTTGGGCTGCAAGAAGACCCGCTGGTAGCGGCTGCAGAGCAGCTGCCAGCGGCTTCTGCAGGGAAGGCCCCTTTGTTTCTGTTTTGCTCAGTTTTTGCTGCGTTTCGCGCATAAAAATTGCTCCCAAGGCCTCCACCTACACAAAAACAATAAAAACACTCTTCACATCACACGAAAAAAATAAAAACTAAACTACGAAAAGTAATGGGGAAGAGTTTTCGATCGGGTTGCCTCCCGATTAGCGCCT